TTAATGAATAGTATGTCGTCAACAAACAACACCCTATCAGTAGCACTATAATGTTTATTGGGATGGGACTGAGCGAACGAAATGCGCTTCTACACGATACTCTGAGTGCACACACATTAATGCACACACACTCGGAGTGCACGCACACACACCAGCGAAAATCGGTCGTCCCCAATCGTTCGATGGTTTCAGCAAACCGAACCTCGTCACCACCGATTGAAACCAACCGACACTCAAGATTTGCCTATCGGTGGCCACCATCCAACGACAAGGCGTTCGATCAGAGACCATCGCAAGAATGTTGTGGTTCCCAACACTACCATCAACCGATCTTCATGCGATACGCACTTAAAACACCCTCTTTCAACTGACTTTCAACCGACCGCAGTCATGCGAATTACTGACAATAAACACTCCATGCTAATTATGTTAATCTAGGCCTGACGGGAACGATGAGTAAAATAAACTGATCTTTGAGGACATGAAACCATCGCTCTTTCTCACAATCAGTATCATTATTAAGCAGAGTTGGCATCTTACATACCAAACTACTTTGTAAGGGATATGGTCAACTTCTCGGAATTTACATGAACATCATATTATACCATCTGTTGTTGTTTGGACCTAGTTGGATAGTACCACTGCAAGTGAGTACAACTGAAGTGATGTTCAGCTTTGTTATAAGCGAATGTATTACATTCTCAGCTATCAAACGCTGACATTTACAAACAGAACACCGAATGAACAATTTATTGATAATTTCAACAGTTTGGATGCGCTTCAAATAGCTTTAGTGACTATAAACTAGCATAGAATTTCAGAAAAATCCCAATATTTCGATCATGACATCTTTATAAAGTTTGCAGAAATCGGCTACTTCATGAAGTTGTTCGTCATCGCAATATCGTGCTATTTCTGGCCATCCAGGACGTACGGTTGCCAGATCTCGAGCACATCGCGTCACGTTTGAGTCTCCGTCGGTTCGGCTGCAAAATTATGTTTATTCAATGATTATTGGGTTAGAAAGGTATGCGGAACAAATCAGCAACGAAAGTCTTCAAATAGGTAACTTTAAATGTTGGTTCCGAGCCTGAACGTATAACGAGCGTTACGTAATGAGGGTTGTGTAGCATAGAGACGATGCCAAGAGAAATGCGAGAAGCTTAAGTCAAACAAGTTACGTAATAAATCGATACGTGATTTCTCGTTTTTTTTAAATCTTAATGTAGAAGAAGAAATCAGAATCAAGATCGAATGCAACGGCAAAAACTTACTCTTGAAACCGTGAACTGTAAAAACAAACTGGGCACTTAACCATGAAATCTTTTATTCGCAGTACTCTACCCTGGTATTTACTCACGTCTATTGACGGTGCCTGAATTGCTCCGCAGTTTAATTCACTTCCAAAAGGTATAAAGATACCTGATCATCCGGATCATGCAAGACGTTGCAGGAATTTGAACTTATTAGGTTAATGATTTCGAATTGAAACGTGAACATGAAAATGTGACAGATGAGATGAAAGCTACTCACATATATGGAAGTATAAGGCGTTCTTAGGGCATTTATGACTTTACCTCGCAAGCCACCGCACGGATGAAATTGCTTGAAATGTTTCACTGCGAAGTCAGCAGATTTGGCTTGTCGCAAATTGCATCGAACCTGCAACAACCCACTCCAAATAGTAGTACATGGCGATATGCTCTATGCGATCAAGAAAGTGCTCATTCGATTCCCATCATTTCATCTCGAACACATTCAACTAAACAAACTCACATATTCGGTTCGATTCTTAATGCAGTCTTCACCGCTTAGCAAAACATACACTCTACTCATATACGCGCTCTCGTCTTCATCCTCCAAGCACTTCGTCTGTAATCACAATGACTGTTATCGTCACTAAACCATCCTCATAAAATAACTTTTCTTTGTACACGTGAATCCATTCATTCGAATCGACGTTCAAAATGTGCTCATTTACTATCAGATTAATAGCACATTCGGTTCCTGATCCATGTCACTATATAAGTGAAGTGCAAACTAACCGTATCAAAGTTCAAGCTTCTCGCATAATATCTGCAATCCATATATTCCCGGTATGCACCGAATTCTGACAAGAGAGCATTCTCTCGCCGGATATCCGAAATATGACGCTGCAAAAACGATATCCTTCTTCTCACTCTCAGCAATTAATCGAAATCTGGATAGGTTTAAGTGAGATATGTTACATGATCGAACAGTATTCAGAAAGCGAAAGGCAAAAGAAATACCGAGATGTGTAAGTTTTTAACGAGTAACGCGTAGCATGCGAGACACAGAAGGGTCGCAAGTAATAGTTCGATGATGAGTATAAACAAGCACGGCTTTCTGCGTAGCACAAATCGCAGAAAGCGTTCTTTACGGCTTCGTGTACGAGAATCCTGAAACACCGACCATGAAGCACTGAAGCACGTCGCGATCATAAACGATAACGCACACTGAACGACGTCATGCAGACTCGATCTCGAAACCAACTTCACTTTAACCCAAAACTGATCAACAATAAGAGAATGCAATTGAAACATCAGAGGTGCCATGCCATGCTTATTCAAATTATTATTTCTCAGAATTCTAGCTGTAAACAACGAGAATGCGTATGACGTTTCATTCTTGCCTATGATAATTCCGATGATCTGCGACTTTACAATTAGCTTTTCACTAATCTGCAATTTTTATTTAACTGCGAGAACACAATAACAAACAATGATTTATTTAACTGAGATCGAAAATTCACAATTCTCGTAAGTAGTTATTGCAAGAAGCAGTTAGATGAAGTCATAATAACCGATTCGATAAAGACAATAAACTAGAGGAATGATTACATAACGGTAACACCAATAGGTCCAATCTCAAGAACAAAACATGTAATACAGCAATGGGAGTGAATCAGTGACAATTTCAAACAACGTGAAGCAATCCATCTCATCTCCGTTCGACAACTCATCAACTGAATATCAGCCAATCGATCATTAAATAACTATACAATGAAACTGCTTAACAAGAGATTATGCAGAAGCAATGCCATGAGAAGAAACCTTACCAAATGTGTCCAAGAATCTATATAACAAATTGCATCTCAAAGCAGTCAACACAACCAAATGCACGCAATCAACAAACAAATAAATGAATGAACCCGTCTGATACGATCAAGTTAAAATCGATTTTTGTTCAACTCAACAACCCATTTGTGCGCCATCCGAATGATGCGCACAAAACCGAACATATGAATGATTGACACATTTTTTATTGTTCTTAGGAGTATTTCATCAAATTAGCATGTGAAGTTCGATGACAAATCACATCTACTGCACGAAAAAAATCAAATCGATTACAACTTCGATGTATTAATAGATGAAAATCCTTCAATATTTTCATTCAATCCGAATCACACAAATCGATAACTTCACCAGGTGCGGTCGGACGACTTACTGCTCGACAAAAGAATTTCGGCGTGTGATGACGCTGCATAACACCGCCATTCAAACTTGAATCTGTAAAAAAATAATCGAATGACCTTTCAGAAGACAATGGCGGGCATTTCTCACCGATGAATTTCAAATGAACTCGAGCGGTTGATTGCTATGAGGAATGAATCGAAAATTAAACTGATAATCGACGTAATTAATGAAGTAATGAACAATTCAATCAATATAACAACGGATAATTTCAAAGAAATGCTGATGAGATGAGAACTGGAGAGGAATTTTATGACGACAAAGGATAAACTTGTGGGATTGGCTTGCGGTCGGGGCGTGAAGAGACGACTTCGCGACATCGGCATCATCACGTCGTTGGGGACGCGAACCAACAATGTTCGTGGCGTACTTCTGTCATCGGTCACCCTTTCAACACCCATTGGTAACGGAGTGGCTCGCATCGGTAACGGTCCAGGTGGTGCTACCGGTCTGCAATTATTTCGATTACACCTCGCAAACAACCACAAAACTGTTTGATTTCTTCTCTTCATTTCCCTAAATCGCATCAAAAATATTTGCTGACCACCCCCGCTCTCGCTTACCGTTAGTTGAATCTAGCAATAGTGAAGTTGATTTGAAGCGCGAAAGATTGAACGTAATGATATAACTAACGATGCATTGCGATTCCATGATCTGTCCAATCCGGTTCGATAGCGAGATGATAAATGTTCAGCGTGGCTCAGTGGCATCACACTTCCGATAGGACCGAGATCAATTTCTAATCCTTTGTATATATTCTTTTCCTGTTCATATAATAGCCTGGCCTCAGCTTTCTCCTCTTCACTGAGCCCGGCTTCACGTTCCATTAGCAAAGAATCGTGTAAAAATGGTTCCTCAAAATGTTCGAATCAAATACCGAATAGTGTTTATTAATCAAGTTATTTGATAGACAAATCACTCACTTGAGCGAACATATATGAATGTGACACTGCAGCTGACCATAAGACATTATCGGTGATGTTCCATGAAGTGACATTGTGCGGCTCGGTGAGCACATCCAGTGCCTCCTGAACATCAACTGTCTAGTTATTATTCAAGGAATAAGTAATGACTTACATCATAAACAAGTAACTGCTCGAGTTCGCTCTTTGTCACGTCCACATCCAGCTGTCGGTCGTCCACAACCCTCTCTGAAAACCGCATTCATATATCAACAGTCACGAACAAACAATCAAGACGAACGTTGCAATCCATTCTTGCCGATCTGTCTGTTGAAGATTCCCTTCTCCATGCAGTTGTCAACAATCAGTCGGTAGATAAAAGTACGTTTCTGCTGACCATAACGATAAATGCGACACACGGCTTGCGCATCGTGGCATGGGTTCCAGGACGCATCGAATATTATGACGCGATTCGCTGATACCTTTAACAGTCACATATCCATTTCAACATTTCTGACTCGTTCAAAGCCACTGATCGAAGCAACAAACCAAGTTGATGCCTAACGAACCAGCTCTCGTTGATATCAAAAACAACAAAACACCCGGATCATTATTGAACCGATTTATCAACTTCTCACGTTCACTCGCTGACGTTGACCCGTCGAAACCTGACAAATGTTTATATCACATTCATTCAGACGATACCATCGCAGAAATAAATCAATTGATTTGCAAAGTGCACGAAGAAACGCACGAAGAAATGTACGATTGCGTTTCCACGGTTCTTCAGTGCCGTCCTCCTTTTCGACTTTACTGAATCGTTCCAAGAAGCGTTCTATCAAATTTAACGTCAGCAGACTCTGACTGAAACAAAACAACGAATTAATCGAGCAGTATTTGTAAATATCATCAATAACACAATCATTTCGCAATACTGATGAGAAACGTAACAGTAAAAGCAATAAATAATGGTGCTACTCGCACTATAAAATAATACTGAGAAAAATCAAACTTTTTCAAAAAAAAAAACGCTCTCAGTAATGATGCAATTTGCAATAATACAAAAAGTAAAAGATAACAACACCTGAATAGAAGAACTTTGTCACCGATTTGATTGGCTTTCCGAATGATCTCCAGTGAAATTGCCATTTTATATCCGTTTTCGATTACGTCCGTCTGATAGCCACCCATCGCAAGTGCGGCCTACAATGCAAGATGATCAACTTCGTTAACGATATGCCCAAATACAACTCAAGCAACGAACCCAGTCATATCGAACGCCCTTATCGAAACCCATCTCTTCCAGTAGTGCTTTTGCAATCGTTTTATTCGATGTCCATGCTGTACCCTTATTCGTATCGTTATTTGCGTTATTCGCTCCATTTGCATTTCGCAAGTGTGTCGCTGCAGTGGCTATAAAGCGAGCAACAGAACATAATTGAAATGCGTCACGATTCCTTACATCCACTTAGAATTGCACATTATCTCATTTAGTTACTGATCAAGATGAAACCTTCACATAAGCAGCTTACACAACGAATTTTTCATCACGAGTGAAACAAACTGAAATATAATTGAACAAAAACGAACCTGGTGTTTCAGGAAGACCGTTGTAAGAAAGTGATGGAGAAAAGGGCAGAGTAGGATCATGAAATACTGCTCCTTGGTATGCTGGAATGACTCGCGGTGATTGTGTAGCACACTGCGTACCGGTAATGTTACTGCTATGCTCAGGGGCGATTGGTTTACTATGAGCATCATCACCGCAACGAATCGCCTTGCCACCTGCAAACAACATTCTTCTTTATCAATATGTAACAACTTATTATACATCGCACAGCCATCCCAATATTCACTTTGAATTCTATTATCACTTCAAATAGTTTCCCAAAACTCAAATACTTCTCAAAACGAAAACAATCTCAACCGTCCAACTGTCCTAAGTACGAGTATGGCTACAGGATTGTACATATTACTGCACCTGATAAGTGAACGCCGTTTCGTTGAAAGCAGTTGGGTGCTTGTTGCTGGTGTTGGTGGGCGACGTCCCTACTCGGAGCACTTCCAGTCAATGGTACGCCACAACTCTGTGCTTCTGCAGTCGCCGTAAAATTATTCTGTGACGATTCCCGTTTCAATGACAGAATTTTACACTTTTCTGCAGTTTCTCGTTGCCTTTCGAGCACATAGTAGAGTACGTCGGGATGATTCCAGATCTGAAGAATAATGCACAGAAATTCAATTCGGCGACTGACCATAAGAACAGAACTCAGAATAATTGTTCAATTGAGAGTGAACGAATGCTCATGAACCGACGGCTATCGGATACTTGAACAACGCACAACCAAACATATTGTATCAGTGACTGAACCAAACAATTTCGTTACAGAGCGCTCTTGATGAATCCAGAAACATCGCCACGAGAGGGTTAACCCACAACGAACAAACCTTCGAGCACGCAGCAAAAGCTTTCAACGGATTGAATACAGTATATCCAATAGAAGTAATCTCAGACTGTGCGTACTGTAAAAATGCTCGATACAGAACTCGTTGAATTTCACTTTTACGCAGCAACAACACGTATTCATACGACTCTGGCAGAATCTGCTTCAACAGATGATGCGTTCTCCTGAAAAAAAAAACGAATTATAGTTAGAGAAATGCAACCTTCATCTCTAATCCGGACGCAATTAAATACGATATAAGTAGACAAAAAGTTCACCTTTGCACAAAGCCTTTCAACATTTCACTGAGGACATGTGTTCGTTGTTGTGCCAACCTGACATCGTTTGGTGTCGAGTCAATACAGAGACCATTTTTGATCGGTCTTTCGAACATATTTTTGAATTCTTTTTTCGTGCCCAAGAAATTCGGCCTCACAAAATCGACCATGCAATAATATTCCAGTAAGTTGTTTTGCAAGGGGTAACCCGTCAACACAATACGACGTCTGAAACAATTAACGATTCGTTGCAGAAGTGATATTCGAGTGATATTAGTGATATCATATTTCATTGCAAAGTTTGAAGTCAGCAACTCGAAGTATTAATAGATTCGATATAAATTGCTGATCGGGTGATGTTTTAAAATAACGAAGATGAAACATACAGCACTAGTATATCAAATCACAAACCTCGTTCGAATAGCATTCAACGATGCGGCGATACCAGTTTTATCGTTTTTGATACGATGTCCTTCATCACACACCACAAGATCAGGTCCTGGATCTAATAGAGCTTCTCGTGCTACTGAAATATCAATCAACCATTTCCTGAGCCATTAAGCAATCCTTCCAAACCAATCTCCGTGACATCCTCGAGATCTTCTACTATCATATTTACAACACTTCAGCTAATGAATATCACAGCAATAAATCTAGTCGAATGTAAGCTCGGATCGCTAAGCAACAAATCAACTGTTAATGAAGAACGAATAAAGACAAAATGTGTTCATCGGAGAACAGTAGCATTCAGCCTTTTCTGAACCACTTCAAAATATTAACAGCTGTTGCTGAACAGAGAACAAACATCAAATGGTCAAGAGAAGAACATGCAAAGAAAACGGCACAACCTTTACGATTCGTCGTCTCAATTTCCTCTTTTTCCAAATCAATCACTTCGATTTTCATCTTTTTCGTGTTACTCGAAACAACGCCTCGCCTCTTGACGACTTTCTTTGGTGGCTGAACATTGACCAACAGTCGGAACATATCATAACCTATTAATAATACACCACCTTGCGAACGCCATTTCTCTGCAAACATCAGAGCGGTCATTCGTGTTTGATTGAGTGCAATATGGGAATATTACAGCAATAATTGCTTTGATACGTTCATTTGAATTCCATGGGTAAGTAGATTAATGCTAACAAGCAGGATACGTATCTAACAAGAGATGGGTCGCAACGTATCAAGGCGAAAGATCACTTAGAGACGAACAAACCAACCAAGCACTTCCATACGTTGTTCTGCTGTTTTCACGTTATCACCAAGCAACAATAAACTGAACTCACGAATCGGTTTACCACTCTCATCCAACTTACTGAAAACGTTTGAAGGTCACTGCTGATTTCAGGATTACATCTAATTGCATTTGCATCGAAACAAACCACAAATCAAGTGTTTTATAACGAACGCAACACACTCACTTCGGCAACCAACGATCATATTCGCTGATCCAATTGAGAATTGTGTTGATCGGTACAATGATGAGAATTGTCTTCGAAGCAGTTGTCCTCAGAAATATATCCGAAAATGCGATCACCTCCAACAGCACATTATGACTCACTCCCATTGGATGATTATATCACCAACAAGCGAATAACGATAACCAATGGCATAGTCTGGATTCTTCAAAGTGGGGGAGCGCAAAACAGTCTGGTACCAAAAAGCAACCGAATTTTGTGTTGGGTTTTTTCTACGCTTATTTCTTCTTGCCTTTCCCTTCCGTTCTTATTTTTCCCGATCTCTTCTCCCTTTCCTCCCTTTGCCCTCATTTTTTGCCTTTTCTTCCACCTTCCAGGAGTGAGGAGTGGGTGCGAGCCCTCCGCTCCCTGTCCCCTCTCGCCCGTTAGCTACGTCTATGACGATGACAGTCATTCAATATTTTCATCTGCATCACTGTGACCCCACAAAAATCATACATCAAATGATGTTAATATTCACAACGGACAATCGCACATCCTCCGTGAATTATGCTTGAATGATCGAATAAGCAAGATACCTGAATGGTTTTACCCAGTCCCATGACATGCGCAAGAATACATCCGAAACCAGGCGATTTTTCAAAGCCATTAATAGTTTCAATTACATTGTCATACCTGAAAGACTGCTTGAATGTTATCAGCACCATTACTGTCATCATCAAAATAAGCACAAAGCTAACATGAATCGAACTCCACCAATCTGATGGGGTTTCAGAACACTGGCGAGGTGTTTGTTCACATAAACATCCGGATCGTTCGCCGGTTTATTGGCGTTTATCAGCAGCTGACCTCCTGACAGCTCGGTACTTTCTAACTCGCCAGAAGCTCTTCGTTTTCTGATTCGTTCACGCTCTATACGATGCAACCTTTCAGTCTCATCTTCCAGCACCATCACTGATGATCGACTTCGAAAACGCGACGAATGCTCGTGGGAAGCGATCACTGTAAAATATCAAACATGACCGAACGTCATCACCACTCCCCTCCGAAGGAACCGCATCACTCTTGCATACTAATTAAGCCAGAAGTGCATCGGTCACATGTCCTAGTGAAGCTATTAACCTTGAGGTTTCGTCACATCTGCATGGTCAAGATCCTCGTCGCTATCACTACTCAACAGTATAACCTCATCAGCTGATTCCGTGTCGTTGTGTGTTGATTCCGATTCCTTCTTAACAATGCCATCGTCTAATAAAGAGGACGATGTGCCTTGAACTGGTGTACAACTACTACTATGCGCTTCTTCCGATGAGTTTGTCGTAAGATTGCTTTGCGACAATTTGTCACAAAGCATTCCCAGTCGCTGCAGACGTTCCTTCTCCATTCGCTGTGCTTCTTGCGTAGACGATGAAAGTTTTTGGTCATCGAATTTTGTCCTGTAAGCACGAGGACCTTGCAATAAGCACGAATATTTTATAAATTACCATTCGAAACTTCCACAACAAAACGATTCTTCATAACCACACTACCTCTAACGTCTCACACTTAAGAAGGGTATTGAATTATCACGCTTTTGTACCGCTGATACTCGACAATCTCTTTAATCATAACTACTTGGAAGGCAATTTTTTTCAAAGAGAAATTACATTCCAAAAGGAGATGGCAAAAAAACACTTGAAGTGAAAAGTTCTTCGCATTACTGCGGGATAAAAACTAACTGAACTTGGCGAGAAATTATTTCATTCAAAGTGAAATAGAATAACTGATCTGATGTTATTATCGAACAGCAACTTGCTTGATATGTTTCCTTTTATTCGGACGATTTGATGTGGGTAGATTGACTGATATCAAAGGTTCGGTGTCAGCCACAGTCTGGATTTTATTTGCAACATTTGGGTTCGTAACCGTATCATACTGAACGCTTTCGGCCGATTCCGATGGTTTATGATCATCCGTTCCTTGTTCATCCTCCTTTAACGTCACATCCATGATCAACCTATAATGACTGAATGTAAATTCGTTGAAATACATATTCACGTGAATTACAAACCTTTATTAGCTACTATTTCTAATACAGAATTACAAATTTTACTTCCATCTCAATCCACTGCTTGAGATAGAGTACAAATAACAGTAAACATTTGCTGGAAATAACAACATTCAAAAAAATTTCATAGTTCGAAATACTAATATGCATTTTTAATTTTGGCTTAAAGCGTTCGCGCTTCGCTGTGGCAAATGCTCCATTGGCATTGCTTGATGCGCTCAATTAGTTGGGGTAAAAGAAGCCAAATTGCACTTTCGTACGCGCGCGGGTTGGGGTAAAAGAAGCCAAATTGCACTTCTGTACGCGCGCGGGCCCGAATGTTCAAAGGTGAGAGATGGAGAGGAAAACGCTTCGTAAAAGCGCACAAAACGAACGGAATGAATGTAGCCGTGAAATCTAAGCCGTGAAATCTAAGTGAAATGAATCTAAGCGTATCATAGCGAATTCTTTCGTCCAATTTCTCAGAAAAAACCAAAAAAACGAAACAATTACAACATTGTGTTCCACTGTTCTTTTGGAGGATTTTTCTGACCTCACTTATCTCACGCAGCCATAATTCTATACTTTTCTTTATACACTCGTCAAGCTGAACCGATTGGTACCTATCTTATCGCAAAAAATCATCTCATTAGAAACTTCACAAAACCCTGACCATACATATCTATTACGATTTCAAAATCCGCATTGTCGAGAAATTATGTGTTTCTACTGGCTGCTGGGTGGAGTGACCTGAGATTCCAAAAGCTTCTACTAGAGAAGTGAATGAAATGACGTTTGGCTTGAGCATTACAGTTGGAAACAGGAGCATGCATGTACATTTACCATTACAGTTGCCATGTACATTACCGTTACATTTACCATGTACTTGAGCACTTACCATTGCAGTTGCCACCGTCCTTGCGTGGTT